GATAAGAAAAAATGGGCCAATAAAAACAGCCAGAGCGGGAAAAGCTCCAGTCAAGTTTCACCGACTGTGTTGAATCTTTGCCTCCTGCCTGTGACGAAAAGACTCCGGCGTGGAAAAGCCTCGGCTCTTTTGAGTAGTCTGCTGCTCTTCCGTCAGCTGACCTTCTGTATGCAGCAGCCAGCGTGGAAATCTATGTTGCCTTCAATTGTGACCCTCCAACTGATCCCAGTGAGATAGCTGAGGTACAGAAGGCACCAGGGTCTGTAATCTCACTGCAGAAATACAGAGTATAACAAATGGCAGCCGTGATGATCTAGCCCCTTTCCTGGGTGTGCTCTGAGCAGCGGTTTCTACTGTATTAACCACTCAGAAGCCCCCCACAATGCATTTTAATTGAATTTTTAAAAAAGACATCAATTAATATTTGATTTCCCAGAGGCATATGCACTATCTATAATGCTAGTCTGAGGTAACTTGTATCAGTCTCCTTTCCCCACTTCTGCTCAATTTGACCATTCTCAGGAATCATGGAATAGACCATATTAGTCCATTCCCACTCTTTTGGATTGAACGGGTCACTTGTTTTATGAGTTCTAATATTTTGCTAGGGCAGCGTACGATATATTATGGTATATAGCCCACAGCTGTCATTTTATTGTCCCAAGCATTGCTGTCAGATTATTGCTTGCTCTTCATATGTTTCCTCGACTGCTCTGAGAAAAATAAACCCTTTCGGTGCACTCAGAATAAGAATTACAAGGAGGAAGCATTGTCAGTACTTTTCCCAAATACAGTCAATCTACATCCTGTGTGAAAGACAGTAATGCTGAGTATGTTTGCTTTTGGCAGTGCTGGAAATGCCTGGGAAATGTTCTGCACTCAGTATATTTACAAATGTACCTTCTGTGAAAACAAGTTGAATGATGTGGATCTTCAGACTTTTTTTTTCCAGTCTTAGTTGCTTTTGCCACATCAACACCCAAACACGCAGATAGGCTTTACTTTGTGATTTTTGAGAAAGATAAATGTGTTAAGAGCTTGTGCAACAGGTAGCATGTGCTAAATCTTTTATTATAACAAAGTAACAATAAAAGCATTCCAGAATGTTACCTTTGAGAGTTTTTTTCTCTCAATCAGTCTATTTCAGAGTTCCCCAAAAATGTATAGTGTTTTGCAGATATCTAGAAGGAAATTAGCACATTATTTAACATCTACATTTGTATGCCGGTAATAATCAATATGCAACTTCTATTTGAATACACTAAAGATTTAGTCTGGAAAAATCAGCCGGCAACTGTCTTAAAATCAAAGAAACTACGCTACTAAGAAAAAAGTGTGCTTTGAGTGTGTTATGATGTTAGTTTTAAATTCCCTTTCTATGTATAAAGTATTTACTGGGGTTAGATGATGTAAACTGTTCCAATGTAAAGTTTTCAGATGGTAATCAGTATATAAAAATATATGGTTTATTCAATGGTAAAAAGAGAAGAAAGAAAACACAACGTTTTGGCCGTGGAGCCTTCTTCAGGTGTGTCTATGTATTCAGGTGTGTATATGTATATTTGTATGGGAAGCATTATCAGCCTGACCTAAATATCTGATGGCTAAGCAGTGGAAAACATTAATATAGTACTGACATGTAATTCTTCTTATTATTATATACAATGTTGGTTTGAATGTGTAGGTCAATGAGATCCCCTGATGAGCTACTAGGAACCTAACAAACTAGTTGGGGTGAATGGCTTCCTCTAATTTGTAGCCTTTTTTATATTTACATACATTAGAAATCATCACAACCACACTAATCACAACCGACCTACAGTAAGTACTGTACAACACTGAATATTACCTTGAAATCGAACTTTAAACAGTATCCCAAGAAGTCGGTCAAAGGCAAATGAAAAGCCAGAAAAATAAGCCAGCTTTTTTTTTTTTAGTAGCTAGAAAATATAACAAGAAAAACACAACACCCTACATAAGCTGCTCTAAAAAAAGAGCATGGAGTTTTCAACACCATTCAGAACAACACCTCGATTCTCCCATCTTTAAAGGTTCACGTGCTGCATTTTCCATATTGGCTTCTGTGACATCTGTGCACATTTTTTGCACGTCTGCTACTTTAGCATAATTATGCTTATTTTAGCCACTGCTAACTTCAGACATCTGTGAAGAGTTTCCAGCGTATCACCTTGAGTGACAAGGTTCCAAAAAGGTAAAAACCCCCTCCGCAACAAAAAAAATTGGAAAAGGGGCCTTTTTTTTTGCTCTTTCTGTCCCTGTTGATTTGTGCATTGGTAATGTTTAGTTTCCATACCCTTCCATATAACATTGATAAAGAACATTGATCGAGTATAAACACCATATGTGTTTATACTGTAGATAGTGTGTTAAAATTGTATTCTTCATTGACCAAGTGAAAAAGTGTCATATTGGGAAGTCTAACACAACAACACCAAAATAAGCTTTTTTTCCTGGCCAAAATGTCATAATTTTGCTTTATTTGGCAGTTGCTTCTCATGGATGTCTGCAGACATAGTTGAAACTATTATGGTGGTCTGTTACCTGTATCACTTGTATTCATTCAGAGGCTACAGGGGAGATCAGAGAGCAGATGGCATTGTGGAGTTCCCTACAAGTTAATATTTCTTACCTCCAGTACTGCTACTACTGTTGCTACACACACTGTTGCTAGAAACACGATGACTAATGCTACTGTCACTAATGCTACAGCTATAAAGAGCGGTACTATGAAGACAGCTGTTGATCCTGGTACTCCTGCTGCTGCTAGTATTGTCACTGCCACAACTACAACTACGTCTTTTACTACTGAGCACGCTGCTGACACCTGTGCTGCCTCTTCCAAGGCTGAAACAACAGCTACTGCTGCTTTATATCTCTTGCTTCATTCCACAGTATACAGTGTATTGCATTTGATTGTTGGGTTTTGGTTTTTAAAGGAAAGTTTAAAGGAAAGTAAAATGTTGCCATTGTAAAATTAATTCCGTATACAGAAGCAGTGTCGATAAGATGCCTGCAATAAGTCCGTTGTAATCTTTTGAGCCTAACTTAACTATATGTTATTGCAAGGAACACACGTTCAGCCTCAGGTGGGAGGGAGAACTGCATTTGCAATGAATTTTGGATATGAATGAATTCACGCACACACAAATGCTACCAAACCAGGTTGCTGCTGTAACTGGTGTAGGTGGACCAGTAGATGGTGCTCTTCCCAGTTCTAACATTTCCAAACCAATATCCCAGTGTGATTATACATTATATATCTGTATATATGGTGATATAACACACTTTGACTTTGAGAGGTGCTGTCCTTCAAATAAGATGTCACGAAATATCCTAAATCAATGCCAGTTTGAGTATTAGACCTGCTGTCCTGGCCAATATCCCCTCAGGGTTTTACACAATCCAATCTTCCTAACGCTATTGCTTAGTTCAATTTGTGCGGATAGTTCTCACTGATCTGCCTGATTCCTTGTGTATTGTAGGAAGGCTGCTGGTGTATAATGGCTACCATATATTTTCAAGGAAGTGGCCTCTCTTCACCTTCCTACAGTATATGTTTTTGATACTTAAGCATCCGTTTTATAAATGTAAGATAATACTATTATGTAAGATAATATTATTACCTCACTAATAAATAGGAACTTAGATCTTTACCTACACTCTGTCTAAATATGTGTGCGCCTGTGTGCATGTAACGCGTACTGTATGTAGCAGTTTAGATGTTTGAGGTGTTTATTATTAGTCATTTTTGTTTTTCAAGTTCCAGACCTGTGAAAAAACATAATCAACGTTGTTAAAATAAAGCAGAAATGCAGCGTTATAACATTTACCTGCAGCGATCATCAAGTTTGACACGTTTTTTTTCCCTTTCCTCAAAAACACATCAGTATCGCAACATCAACGTTACTAGCACGTTGTTGATGAAAGTAATACAGTAGAGAGAACGAGTAAATAATACTAATGTGTTGGTTATTTGGATGTTGACATTATTCTTTTGAATACGTAGAATATTTAAGATGTTAAAAATAGCGTTGTGGCTGTTTTTGTCATTTCCAAAGTTTAGAAGTCTATTTCACGTAGCCCTTGAATTTGCATGACATAACTTAAAAAGAGTTTATCACAAAACTACAATGAGAGAAAGAGCATTCAAGTTTATACTGGCAAGCACATACAGAAAACACGTTTCGGTACTGTACAAATGCTTTTGGTAGATCAGTTTTGTAATACCTGGCAACCCGGTCCAACGTGAGCTTTGGTCTGGGTGTCTGTGAAACTGTTCGCTTTGTAACCGCTAGAGGGCTCTTCGCGGCTCTTCAGAAAATAACCAAAAACACCGTCCCGACTCAGAAACGTACAGAGAAAGAAAACAGCCGTCAGGGTTACCTGTGATTTCCCATTCAGCCAAGAAACCCAAACGGTCTAAACTTCAAAATGCCTTGCTAGAATCTACAAAGACATCCAAAAGCAATCTGCTTCAAAAGCTGGCGCCCTACAGAGCTCTCGAAGTGTTTTCTGTTTGAGGTAGTTTAATGAAGATTGCCGATGCTGAAACTGCTCTTGCATTACTGCAAGATAATTTTGTGCATTTCAACTTTTAATCTCAGAATCAACTTTAGGAAATACATCCCGGCTTGTAAAATGTGGCTCATCTGGGTTTTTTTTTTTCAGTGATCTTTTTTTTTTTTAAATGTATTTTAATGTTTTACGATGTGGAAGAGAAAAAAGCTCTGACAAATGTAAAGAGTGTTCTAGGTGCTGCAAGTAAATCTATAAGGGTTTTGGAAAAAAAACTGGAAAGGAAATTATTCTGAGCTCTCTCCAAACTGATTGATTACTTTCTTAGTCATCCCTCTAGTTTAATGGGATCCATTCAATTGAGAAGGTGGAGCACTTGCATGAATTAACATATTCCTTTTCCCCCTCAATCTGTGTTCAAGTGTCTTACTTTTTGCTTAAAGAAGGGGCAAGGAGAGGGGGTCGTGGCTTACATTATAAAGGAAAAAATAACAGCATCGCCTTCTTGGTTTGTGTAGAATCAGTGTCTTGACAAGCTGTTATAAAATCTGAAGGAAGACCGGTGAAGACCTCAAGAAGCTTTTTGTTTTGGAAATCAGATTTTGAAGAGACTTATTTATTTATTTCCCCCCTTTTTTTTTTCTTCTTGAAAATGAAACTTTGGACTTTTCTCCTCTTGCTTTCCTGGCTTTTGATTTTCATCCTTTTTTCAGGATCCGAGTGCGGGACAGTTCCGAGAAAGGGAAGGTCTAAAAGAGACTTGGTGCGCTTAAGGGAAGCTAGCAGTACTTTCCCAGGGGCATGTGCCACCCGCTTGCCTCGGGGCAAGCGGTCCGTGCCCGGGATGGATCGGCGATCGTCTCGCCAGCACCGTCGCTCCTCCCAGGCGGAGGACAGCTCTCCTGGACGGGGAAAGGCTGTTTATTTTACCGGGAGAGGAGATCAGCTGCGACTAAAGCCGGGTGTGGAGGTGCCCAAAGGAAATTTTACCCTAGAAATGTGGATCAAGCCAGAGGGAGGTCAGCGATCCCCTACTGTAATTGCAGGTATGTGCTGTTCGAGTGCCGTGAAAAGCACCATTTAAAAAAAAAATGTGATTTATTCCCGTTTTTATGAGTGAATGAATGGGTTTAACCCCAAAGTGCCAGCGAGGTTGTAATCCTTAAAGTAGTTTCGGCAAATGAAGTCTTGTTTGAACTTTTGTTTTCATTTTTTACATTTACATTCAAGGCAGCAAACTATAAAATGATATCCTAGTTTCCGTTAAGTTCCCGTGTTTTTGCAGTCACTCTAATAGAGTGGTGTGGTATTAATTGAAAACATGCCATGTTGTCAACTTAGAACAATATTGTAGTAGTGGCGGTTTTTAAGGTGAAGGCTGCATTTGCGAAACCGTCTTTTGACATCGTTAAGACAGATGTTGCCAAAACAAAATACTTTGCATTAGGAAGAACATGTCTGCAGTTAGTTAGAAGTTAGAGAACTTCCTAAAATAATAGTAATTTTATCTGGCAGGTACATGCTTAAGAATTACGTCAAGGTCTTTTCAACACATCGAATTTGTACAGTATATTATGATAATGGAGGAGCTTTATGAAATAAAATAAAAAAACATGGGGTTTATATTGTTGGTCAAATTATATAACCAATTATCGTGACCGGTGACTAGTGACTGTTGCTGTTGGTACACTGTAGTATTTCGAAACATTACAGTACCTCATATTTTCTATGTCTATAGTACCTGTAGGACCAGTCTCTTGATTCGGTGGTCCGTTAAATTAAGAGGATACGCATTTATCCATTTGTCTTTCATTCTGCACATAATCATTTGAGTAAATGTGTTTGTCGTGAAGCATCTTTGAACGGCTGATAGACTGTTAATACCGAAAAGCTTGGGGACCACAAATTGTCCGAGTCTTTTGGAAACAATGGCGATACGCTTGTTAGGAGCAGAGTGCAAAGTGATGCTTTCGTCAAGAGTGAAGGCAAATCTTTACCCTGGATGGGATGATCTCTAAAGCAAAAGGCGCAGATTTAAGTTATCGACTTTCCTGTTTCGCAGCTGCATCTCTGGAAACGTTAAGAGCTGTTCAGAATGCGTTTAGACAAGAAAAAGAGGATTGACACCCCGTGTTGTTGTTGTGGGACTATTGTTGAAACCCGTGCTTTTTACCTGTGGCGTTATTCGTCTGCTGGATGATTCATTGCTTTTCTGAACATATTAAGGTGAGCTGCAAGTATTGCTGTTGACTACGCGACGAAATATTCCATGGAGACATGCCATATAACCTACAGTACATCTATATTCGCATCCATTAAAACCATCATCTTTGTTGTGGTTTGTGAGGCAGCCTACAGTTGCAAGTCTATGTTGCAATGTGTAGATGTAGTCAATATAAAATCACGTATTTGTGTGGAGGGTGTTGAATGCTCTGTGCTGATGTGCCAAGGTAAGCGAGTCTTCTGGATACTCTAAGCGGAGGCGCTGGTTCAGTGACTTTGCCCTGCTCGCCTTAACTCCGAGCGAGTGTTTTGCTCGCTGAGGCATTGCAAAGTCTTAACGCGACGGCACCGCCCCCGAATTAAAAGCTGTAACGGCCACAGATCCCCCGCAAACAACTTGACAGCGTAGTATTTAAAGGGACTGGAGCTAAACCCTAGTTGTTTTCCAAAGGGATCTCTCATTACGGTGCGATTGAATGGGTGGGCTGCCACGAATTCCGCCGCTCCTCTAATTGATTTCAGATTACGAGAGCATCTCAGTGCGTTTTTTTTTTTAAAGAACTGTTAGGGAAGGAAGTTTGGTGTTGTGCACCACCGCGAAGATGTGCCGGTTATCTCTACTTTTACGTGCATTGTTACAATATAATCACACAATTGTGAATTGTTTAATTTGAATGAACACACCAGTAATTGGCTTCTCCAAAACAATTTGCACGTTTATACACGTTTCTTTTAATACATCCAGTGGAAACGACTTTATTTATAAGGAGGTGTTTTACCGTTTTAGAAAGCTGTTTAAAATGCGCAAAGTAATGATTTCTCCAGGTCAGGGGCTCGGTTACTTAAGCGAGCGTTCTTCAAAATAATTTAAAGTGGTCTACAATTTTGCGAGCGCTCTTTTATTGTCTGTGGTTCCGCGTAGCGATGAAGTGGTGGAAACGGACAGGGCGTCTTTAAGAGAAGTTATATGAATGATCAGTAAGTGGGGCTTGGAGTAAAAGGGCGTGTCGTTTTGGTTTTTAAAGAGTGAAAGTTATTTGGTTTTCCCTTTTGATCCCTCCGGCTGCCAACAGAGAGCGTAATGCTCATTTAGCAGACACTGCGTGTTGTAGACTCCGCATTTAGGGATCCTCTCAGAAGTCTGACTGTCCAAAAGAGTTGAAAATCCTCTGTAGTCGTGCGTCACGTCTCCAGCTCGTATGACAACCCAAATCTCGGGCGGTCGAGAAAATAAAAATAATACATTTAATTTGTTTTTACCGTGTGGTGTTTTAGACAGTTCTGGATTTTTTTGTAAACATTTTGGTTGTTGATGGGGAATATCTAAAAACAACAACAACAACAACAACAACACGCAGTTGTAAGCATCACGTTTATTGAAATGTGGTCTTTTTACTCGTTGTGAAGCCAAATGAATGGAACAGATGACAAATGCTTAGCAGGATATTTTATAGAAGTCAGCTTCCGCGAACGTGTTTTTGTTATTTGGGGAGAACCCAAAGGGTAATGTTTGGGGAAGAGGCTGCGGAGGTTCGCAGAGGCTGGACGGTATTTACTGGACTGCTGGCAGATGTGGTTACATCATCCTTAAATGTTATTTCTAACAGCCTGACAAGATCGGCTCCCGACACGCTGTTTGTCACCTTTATACCCTTTTCAACGTAAAATAAACATAACGTTCATTTTGTTTAGCTTTATCTGCTTGTAAAAGCGAAGGCAATGTGCTGGAAGATGGGCAATGCACTAGTGTACTGCATGTAATGTTGTCATTTGAAAGACGCGATATATTTTTTAGTTGTTTTGAGTATGTAGAGCTCCATTAGAAGTGCGGTGCTGAGTAAAGACAAACGATCAAGATTTTTACTTTCGGTCAGGGAGTGTAATTTTCCCACATCCCCGATTATCGTGCGGATGTTTTCAGCTGTTAGAGAGCGGGTTTGTTATTACGTAGAGAAATTATTGGGATTCTTTGCCAACAGTAACAGGGTTTTCTCAGGTCAAACGCTCCGTCGCACTAAATTTGTAAAAAAAAAAATGCTAGAAGTATCTTTATTAAAACGGCATCTTTTACTAATTGTGCGTAGGCAACGATTTTCGTCACCGTGAGGGAATAACTTTTTTGTTTGTTGTGACAGTCTGGCGTGCTCATCTGTTGTTGTAAGGCTTATTGTCTTCTATTTGACAGCTGCCCTACCCACTACATCGCAGAAAGGGCAGTGCGTGTACAATTCCTTGAACAAATCAGCTTTACGAAATCGGTAGCTACAGTACATATCAGTACATCTTAACGCTGACCCCTCTTTGTTTTCAAATGTTATCAGAAGTGTAAGTCTCAAAGGTGAGGCTGCAGCATCCTGAAAGCATTACAGTCTATAGCTGAAAGCACTGTGCAGCCGTTGCACACAGCAAAACCACATAATATAAAGCAATATCCTTGTACACATATGGATTACTTTAGTGGAATTCCTCAAAATGTCAAAGGTTATTGGGTTGAGAAGGGCTCCCCAAGTCACACTGAACTGAAAATAATATTTTGCCTTTTGCAAAAATGAAAACAAAGCCTAAAAGATGAGGATTAGCTTCTGATGGAGCTTGGCCCGATGACTTCACCTAATTGTTACTCCATATGTCATAGATACTGTATAGATACTACTTCTAAGGTTTCTTCTATTTTTTTCCACATACCCAGCCTCTTGGGCCTAGACCTTTAGCGTATGAAAAGGGGGTAACAGTGCAATTATATTGTATGAGCATTATTACTGTGCAAAAGTGATTAAATGGAAATGGACAATGGTGAAGTGAGGTCCTGTTGACTCTTACACATGTGGTCTTAGTTCAGAATACAAAGGTTTTGTCCCCTGTTCCTTGGATACATTTCAGTACAAGTCACAGAGTTCGTAAGTGAATGGAAACAGCTGTCAGTCTGTGAGCTGCCTCTCTCATTGGAAGTGGAGCCACAGAGGCAGTCTGGTCACTCTTTAGTTAACTGACACAGGTAATTACAGTATAAATGTTAACACCTTTACTAATGGTATTAAATCTTACTGCTTAAAAATGCTAGTGAACATAAAACACGCCTATAAAAAAACATACCTAGAAGGAACATTTGACAACATCCTTTCATTGCAAGGCAAAACATGTTTTCTGGGCCTAAACTGTCTGGCACACCTCAATTTGGTTATGTGGAAATAACTTTCTGCACTGCAAGGCAGTAAACAGGTAAGTAGTCACTGCGTATTTCCGTCTGTTTTGCTGTCATATTTTACTCTGAGACATATACAACATACACCATGTCACACAAAACACATTTTTCTGAGATATGCAGTCGTTCATAAAGAAAAGCACAGGTTGAAAAATCATTTTGATTAGTATGAGATTTTCTGTTTCGTTTCTCTTGTTCTTTTTAAAATCTCCTGCTCTGGAAATCTGGGAATGAGCGATGTGAACACTTTAATTCAAAGTGCGCCCTTCCCAGACCAATGTGACAGTTTGCATATTGCTTAAAAGATACTGTACATAACATTGGCAGAGGAGTAATGTATTTCCCAGGTGTCTGACAGGAGAGGGTCAATGCTACCCCTTAAGCTGAGGATACCTTCTCCAGTTCAGGTCTGTTCAACCCTGCAGTGATCACTGTCAGAATATGACGCAAACCAGGCTAAGACCAGCAACATTCAGACAGTTCTGGAGGATGAAGACAAATTAATTCAATGTAATGATTAAATGTTCAATTTAATCCTATCTATTTCAACCACCCGATGGCACTTTATTTTGTCACCACAAGCTTCTGCTCTTACAGCCTCTTTCATTTGAGTCCAAAAGA